ACCGCTATCGTCCTGGAAGACGCTCCTATCTTCGACAACTACACCGGCCCCGACCCGAGACGCCATCACATCGTGACGCTCTCTGCTAAGACGGGCGAGTCCTTAGTCTCTAATATTGGCAACCTTCTTCAATGGCTCGATGGTGCAGCACCTCGTGAAGACCCCAATCTTCTCGCAAAGCTCTCTTATACCACCACCGCCCGCCGTATGCACCATCGGTACAGAGTTGCTGTGACTGCTACCAGTATTCCCCAACTCAAGTCGTCACTGCAGAAAGAGCTCGATGCCCGTAGCGGAGGAGAGAAAATTCTGCCTGCCCCGGCCAAAACACCCGGCTTCGTATTCACTTTCACAGGCCAAGGCTCACCGCACGCTGGTATGGGCGCGGACTTGTACGCCCGGTTCGCTTCATTCAAGAACAACTTGCAGCGCTACAACCACTTGTGCGTCCAGATGGGCCTGCCGTCGATTCTTCCTCTATTCGAGGAGCGGGATTATTTCAGCCGTGCTTCGCTTACTGCCCTCCAGTTGGCGCACGTCTCTTTCCAGATGGCTCTTTGCAAGCTCTGGGAGTCCTTCGGCATCACCCCCAAGGCAGTCGTCGGTCACAGTCTTGGAGAGTACGCCGCTCTTTACGCTGCCGGGGCTCTTTCTCAAGCCGACGTCCTCTACTTGGTAGGAAAGCGATCTCAGCTGATGGAGGAGCACTTAGCTCAGGGAACGCACGCCATGCTCGTCGTCATGGCTGAAGAGGCCACAGTCCTCGCTGCCATTCCTGGTGTTGTCGGTCGCGACCTCGAGGTCTCCTGCCGCAACAGGAAGCACAACATCGTTCTTGGTGGAACCATTGCGCACGTCAAGGAGGCCCGGACCATTCTCGAGTCGAAGGGCATGCGCTGCCATGTTCTCGACACTGCACACGCTTTCCACACTTCTCAGGTCGACCCTATACTTGCTCAGTTCCGGAAGATTGCAAAGGGTATTCACATTCGTCGCCCTACGATCCCTGTCATCTCGCCTACTCTCAGCAAGGTTCTTCGCGAGGCCACCGATTTCAGCGAGGGCTACTTTGTTGAGCATTGCAGAAAGCCGGTCAACATCATGCAGGCCGCATCTGTCGCCAAGGCAGAAGGCATCTTGGATGAGCGCACTATCGCCATTGAGATTGGTCCCGCACCTGTTGTTGCTCCTATGGTTAAGGAAGTCGTTGGATCTACGATGCAGACGTTCGCATCTGCACACAAGACTATCGATACCTGGCAACTGATGACCGATGCCTTCTCCGGCATGTATGCGGCTGGGGCCAACGTCGAATGGTCTAGGTATCATGCCGACTTCCCAGAGTGCCAGCAGGTTCTTCAATTGCCCTCCTACGGATGGACTCTCAAGGAATACTGGATGCAGTACACCAATGACTGGAGTCTCCGTAAGGGTGATGCTCCCGTTATCATGGGGCCTGCAAACTTGGCCTTCTCGTCGATTTATAACGTGGTCAAGAACACTCTTCAGCCAAGCTCTGACGGCGAGGTGGTCGTCGATCTCGACCTCAATGCTGACGATGTTCACTCCATGGCTCAAGGTCACAAGGTGTACGGCGTACCTCTATGTACTCCCTCCGTCTATGCAGACATTGCTCAGATGATTGGCAAGTATGTCAAGCAAATCACAAGCATGGACGTCGACGCAGTCGGAACCGAGGTGGCGGAGATGCACATCCAGAGTGCTCTCGTCGCCAATGACGTCGGTCTCAAGCAAGTCCTCCGTACAGAGGCCAAGTTTGATGCGGCGAAGAAATCTCTTTTCTGTACATTCTCTACCCTCGACGGCAACGACAAGGTTATGGAGCAGCATGCCAACTGTTCGATCCGCTTCACCGAAATCGACGAGACCAAGTCTCAGTTCGCCCAGGCTGTCTCGGATGCAAAGATTCGCATGAAGGCCATCCAGGCGCAGGTCGGAGAAGACGAAAGCACTTTCCGATTCAGCAAATCGATGATCTACAAGATGGTTGGCCAGCTTGCTGATTTCGACCCCAAGTATCGCGGCTTGTCTGCCATCACTCTCAGCAACAACACCTACGAAGCTGCAGGTACTGTGTCATTCAAAGGCATCCCTGACAATGGAAAGTGGTTCTCCAATCCCGCTTTCCTGGACTCCATCTCTCAATTGGCTGGCTTCGTTATGAACGCCAATGAGTCTGTCGATCTTGACAAGGAGCTTTTTGTCAACCATGGATGGGAGTCGATGAAGCTCTTCACTCCCAAGCTTGATGCGAACATGACCTACCACTCATATGTGAAGATGACTGAGGGCAAGGATAAGCTGTGGTCTGGAGATGTTATCATCTTCGATCAGGATCAGAACCTCATCGGTATCCTTGGTGGGGTTGCGTTGCAGGGCGTCCCCAAGCGCCTTATGGACTACATCATCAATTCGGCCATGAAGAAGGTCTCGGGTGGCTTCTCATCGGCAAAGTCTCAAACGCAACCACAACAGCCCCAGGCAATCGTCACTTCGGACATGAAGGCAACCTTTGGAGACATTTCTCTGGCCGAGACTCAAGCTGCTCCTGCTGCGCAACAAGCTGCAGACGATTCCTGGCCCGTGGCTCTCAAAGTGTTAGCCGAAGAGAGTGGTTTAGATGAGAAGGAGCTGGCCGACGATGTCGCCCTCGCTGACATTGGTATCGACTCGCTCTTGTCACTTGTCATTTGCGGCAGACTACGCGACGAGCTTGACGTTGACCTTCCAGAACGGGCACTATTTGAGGAGTGCCTCACTGTAGGCGACATCAGGATGCGTGTTTCTGGCCCCGCGATGTCGTCGACAGAGTCTTCTGGGCATGAGAGCGACATCACAAGCGTTGAATCTGACAATGCTTCGTCGGTGGGCTCGCCTGATCTCGACAACTTGGCGTCGCCTTTCTCAGCTGCCATGACGCCAATCAACGGGCTTGATACCCCCGGTTCCTACTTCGAGGTCATCGACATGAGCGCTGGAGATTTCAAGGGCAAAGCTGTCCCTTCGACTCCTGTCGTGTCTACAATCCCGCCGGCGTGGTCGATGTACCTCCAGGGCTCCCGCACGAAAGCTAAGGAGACTCTTTTCCTTTTCCCGGATGGCTGTGGAGTAGCCACTTCCTACCTGAGTCTCCCGACTATCTCGCCGACCACGGCACTCGTTGGATTCAATTCGCCATTTGCAAAGTGAGTAGTGACGTACTTATTTCTGCCACTCTGCTTCAATACTAACAAGTCTCCCTCCAGAACTCCCAGCCGCATGTACGACCATACTCTCCGAGAGGTACTACAGTCCTACATCGCCGGCCTCCGTCAGAAGCAAGCCCGTGGCCCCTACCGTCTCGGAGGTTGGTCAGCGGGCGGCATTCTCGCCTACGCAGTGACCCAAGAACTCATTGCCGCCGGCGAGGAAGTCACCTCTCTCACGCTCATTGACTCTCCCCCGCCCAACAACGGCCTGGACCACCTGCCTGACAGATTCTACGACCACTGCAACAAAGTCGGCATCTTCCGCAACGAGATGCGTCGCGGAGCAGAGCAGTCTGAGCCGCCCGAGTGGTTGATGCCTCACTTCCGCGCCTCAACTGAGCTACTGCATGACTATCATGCGCCCGCCATGTCACCCGAGGCGGCTAGGAAGTTGCACGTAAACATCATCTGGGCAGGGGAGTGCGCTTTTGATGGGGTTCGATACCCGACTTTGCCGCCTGCCATGATGGAAGGCGAGGATTGTGAGGGGATGAAGTTCCTCACTGAGAAGAGGAAGAATTTTGGACCTGGGGAGTGGGCTTTGCTGTTCCCTGGTGCGTCTGTTACGACCACGGTCATTGAGGGGGAGCATCACTTCAGCATGATGCGAGGTAGCGGCGCAGACAGATTGGTCGACGCTATCAGACGGGGTCTCTAATTTCACTTTGTTTGATTTTTTCGTTCATCACTATCCTATTCTTCCCGGAGTCCTGGGCGAGGGAATCTTTGCTTTCAGAAGGCCTTTGGTTGGCGTGTCGGAGTAGTCCGTTCGGTGGAAGAATCGTCGATTTGATGCTTGATCGATCATACAACAGTCTTGAACTTTCCTTTGTAGATCATCGGAACTTGCTGTAAATACAGTCTAGAATGTGTTTTCCCTTTTTACATTAGTCTTCTATCTAGAAACTCTCAAGTTCACACCATGTGCTTCTGGTATTGAATGTCAATTTGTGACCGTGTCGGGATCGGCCATCGGATTTCTATCAAGGATAGTCGCACGCCTTGAAGGGGTCAAGGCAACTTCGTCGCGACGCGAATCTAATCGATCAACGATCTATTACTGCTTGATAGTCGAAAATCTGACAAAAGCAGATGATGTGTTTATCCTCGACTGTCATTAACTTCTCAGTCTCAATGCTAGAAGCAAGACTTTGATACGCTCGCTACTCTCAAACATCCGAGGGGGGAGACTCGACGGAAACTGACATCAACTCTATCCCGACTCTATCCCAAATCGAACATGGAAATATAATCGTACGCATAGAGTTTCGGAGTCCGAAAGCACAGATAGCAATACTTACTTTCGGTTATCGAATCCGAATGCGGACACACTTCGGGCTTTTGCGATACCGAATTGGGATCGTGCTCATAGTTCATGATGCTTTTTTACGCTTTTGTGAGATACTTGAGAGTAGGACTAAGCGTGAAACAGTCAAACAGTAATCATACTAGACATGTGTATGATAGCATGGATTCATAGTGATGAACACATCATTCGACTTAACTCTAATCACGGCAAATATTCGGTGCTCGAGCCGTATCTACAAAAGTAATAGTTCGCTAGGTTTTACTCAATCTAGGGAGAAGCTAAATACACACATAGAAATTCTTCCACATTTGATACCCATTGATCTCGATCAACGTAATGAAATGCCAGGAAAGTGAAGTTCACGAGAAACTCTACACGTTCTCCAAGTTTGATTAGCAATACGTAATCCTCAGTCGTCGTCATCACTTGAGATCGGTCCTGACACCTCCGGTACTCGGTACCTTTGGCAACTTGAATCCACCCGGAACCTGCTTCTGAAAGACCTGGTGCGGATCATACTTCTCGCTTGTCGCAAGCAGCTCTTCCAGAGTGCTCTTACTCCGGCGCTCAATGGGGTTTTGCCAGCTCTCAGCGTACGTCGCTTGAAGATAGCTTCTATGCATCCCCATCTTCTTGGCCTTCGCCTCAGCGTCCTCCACTAGCTTTTGTACCGTCTTCTCCACGGCCTCGTCGCTGTCCCTCTCGTTCTCGTCGACGGAGACGCCCAAGTGGATGTACACGAGATTTCCCTGCGTCTGAACGGGCCCCAACGAATCGACGGCACCGTTGCGTTCTGACATGACGCTGGGAACAGGCTGGTACGCCATGGCGACCGCAAAGCCGTCGAGGTCAAGGAGAGGAGTGAAGGCTGCGTCGGCGAGCTGGAAGAACTCCTCCATCATGTCAGCCGAGGGCGCAAAGCTGACGGTGGCAAAGATCCAGCGCTTCGGGTAGGTTGCGAGCGCAGCGTACTCGCGGGAGATGGAGGTGACGTTGTCGACGCGGATGGTATTGGAGGGACCACCGGGGAAAAGTGGCTTCTGCTCGATGGCGAGAAGGGGCTTGAAGACCTCTGGCTCGATGACGGGCGGATCGCTCTTTGTGTACTGCAAGCTGTTGCCGATGAACCAGCTTCTTGTGGCATTGCTGAGGACTAGGTTGTTGATGTAGTGCACGTAGGGATCGTACGGGTGCATAGAGGCAAGGGCCTCGTGGGCCTTGAAGTGTTCCTTTCGCGTGGAGATGTCGTGGAAGGTTTGACCGCCCCAGAACCTGCCTTGCGGGAACGTCTTCATGGTGATAGCCGTGACGATGCCAAAGTTATTACCACCGCCGCGGAGAGCCTTCCAGAGATCGGGGTGCTGACTGGCGCTGGCGTGGACGATGTCGCCGTTTGCAAGTACGACTTCAAATTCCTCGACCACGTCACAGATGAAGCCGTAGCGGGGGGAGAAGAAAGAGGTTCCGCAGTTGAGGACCGCACCGCCTACACCTACACCCGCGACGCGGGCACCGAGGGTGCTCAGGTCAAAGGGATCGAGCTGCTCCGTAACCTGGTCCCAGGTTTGGCTGGGACTCACGGTGATGGTCTTGTGGTCGGCGGAGATGCCGGCAGCGGGGATGTTCTTGAGGTCAATGACGATGCCGTTCTCCATGTTGGCGGCACCCTTGAAGGGGGTGTGGCCGCCACCACGAATAGCGAACTGACATTTGCCGTTCCATGCTTCGGCACCGGCCGTGAGTGTGCGGACTGCGAGCGACACGTCGTGGGCTGACTCCGGCATAACGACGCATGCCGGCTTCAAGTCGGCTTCTTTGAGGCTGAAGTAGGAGCCGATAGAGGACTTATAAGCTGGGCCGTTGGGGAAGGCGACAACGTCGTTGCCCATCGATTTAGCCAGAGCCTCGCACTATTGAGAGAGAATTAGTATGATGCCACGTAATAGAGAGATACAAGAAAGAGTACTCACACAAGTCGACGATGAAGCCACGGCTCCGTGAACGTTGCTTCCCGGGTTGACATTGCTGCCTCCAAGAGGGGATTGCACAGAGTCAACTTGGAAAGATGACAGGCCTGGCAGGCCGAGCAGAATCTGTTGGAGACCTGCACCAAACATGCTTGCTAACTCTTGGAAATGATCTGGCTGTACTACGCTGCAATTGACGATGCCAACATTGATCGCCAGGCCCATTGATCGCGAGGGAAGCTGCGAATTTCATAGCATTCACTGATCGGGTAGTTAATGACTCGGCTTTAGTCGCACTGATCGACTTGCCGAGCTTTGCTTGTTTCCCGCCCATTCTGGAATTGCCTTTTCGGGACAACGGGAAATGCACATACGGCGACCGACAATCCTGTTCCCGGCCGTGTCCCCGTTTCCCGGGCCGGGCCCGAGCTCCTTGATTGCATCACCTTTTGCCCTCCATAAAGCGCGAGAAGAAAGAATCAACGGAATTGATAACTGTCGAAGCTGCAAGTTGCAAAAGATAAGAGCGTAGAAGAAGTGATTCGTAGTCATCAAAACTCCAAAGATGCCAGGCCGTACCACTGATACGCCCATCCGCAAGGTCGCACTCGCAGGCGTGAGTATTGAACCTTTCAGCTAAAGCATCTACCCGCGAAAGCAGCTAATAAGAAGCACAGAAAGGCTACATAGGCGAAAAGATTTACGATGAACTGGTCAACGCCGGGTATGATGTTACTGTTCTATCACGATCTAACCCGGAAAACGCGCCGAACGTCCGCGTCGTCGACTACACCTCCACAGAAAGCCTCACCGACGCCCTCCGCGGCCAGGATGCCGTCGTCTCCGCCATCAACCCCGCGGGATGGCCACACCAGTACAAGCTGATCGACGCCGCCGTCGAGGCTGGCTCGGTCAAGCATTTTATCCCCAGCGACTTCACTTCCCTGTCGACGAACCCCGCAGTTGCCGATTTCCCATACTACGAGGACGCCGTAGGGATCCAGAAACACCTGAAGAAAAGGGCAAACGAGAGCGGGATGAAGTGGACAATCATCGCCACGGGCCCTCTTCTTGGGTGCGTGCTGAATGGTAATTATATGTACAACTACCAAGAGCAGACTGCGCTGCAGGTCAGCGATGTGACGCATCGTGTCAGCGTGACGCGGAGACCTACCCTCGCCAAAGCCGTCTCGAACATCTTTGCCAAGTCTGGTGACATGGAGAGCGGCGCCATCTTCATCCAGGACTATACGACGTCGCAGAAGGAAATGCTCGATATCGCCGAGAGGCTTTCTGGCAAAACATGGCCTGTTCAGCATGTTGATGGGGAGGAGAAGCTCAAGGATGGGCTTGCTATGTTCAGAAGGGCCGAGGCAGAAGGGACCACCCCGCCCATCTTTGCTACGTTTCTTGTCATCCACAATACCATCTTTGGCGGAAAGTATAACACCGCTTGGGATGGTAAGGGGAATAAGTCTCTCGAGTTGCCTATTATGCTGAAGGAGGAGTTTGAGGAACTGATTGCGACGAGAGTCCGAAATGAGCCTATTGATGGCGGGCTGCCCTGGAATTCGGCCCCTAAGCCTAGAAATGCGGCCTAGGAAGGCCAATGTTAGATGCTTGTTACGCAACACTAAGATAGCTAAGGGAAAAGACTATTCATAAAGTAGTCGACAACTCTTGAAAACTGCATTTTTCATTGCAACAGGATATCCACTGTATTCCTATACAATATGTTTTGTAAAGGGGACTTCAGGTATATAATTGGCTCCAGATGCGGAATCACTATTTGAGGCTGTCCAGGCAGCGAATTGGGCGCACCAGTAATGGTCCACTTCAACGCGTGGTATCGATAACATTGAGTCATTCGTCCCATTCGCGTAGGTAAATCGACCAAACGGAAAAAGTAGACATTGAAGAATTATAATCTCGATAGCTCCATGCAGCACCTCAATTGACACAATTAAGGAAACAAATATATAAAGGAAATAGAAATCCATGATCAATGCTACTTCAAGTCCAAAGATGGCGGCTGGAAGCCATTCCACTCCAGATAAGTCGTCGGAACTTGAGGGAACTCGTCAATTCCGTCCAGCATGACCACACCCATCCCACCAGCGTGGTGAGTCTGCACATGGCAATGCAAAAGCCAAGCGCCAGGGCTCTCCACCTTGTATCTCACGACAGTCCACACAGCAGGTGCATCTCCGGCGATGTCAGGCGTCGTGAAGGTGTCCTGGTACGACGGATCATCAAAGTTGAATGCCCCGGGCGGAAGTGCTCGCTCCGCTTCCTCGACGGTGGCCCAGGGAAACTTGCCGACCCCGGAGCCGAGGAAGTAGACCTTATTGCCATGCTTGTGAACCGGATGGCTCTGCGCAAAGGGGCCTTCGGTCTCTAAGATGATGTCAATCCACTCCCCGACTTGGGTGCGGAGGACGAGCTCGCTCTGTGGCACCTCGTCGGGTTGTCTGAAGAGGAATGGCGGGTCTCGTTCCTCAGCTGTCATATTGTAGACTTCTTGACCTGATAGACTCCATTCGTATGCTCCGTATGGATGACCCGGTTTCCTCAGATACAGCTTGAATGTGCGATCCGGGCTGCGAGCGGGCTGTTGGGATGGAAATGGACGACCTTCTTCGGGCTTGAAAGAGCGAATGTCTTTGATGAGAGGCTGCCCGGCGTAATTCATTTTCGGCTGGGGCTTTCTTGGCTGCTGTGTCGCTCCGTCGTACGCCAACTCGGCAAAGCCTCCAAGAATCTGATTGAGAAGGTCGTTGGCCATCCTGATCATGTATCGGGCTGGCTCTTGGTCCAGTTTCACGAGGACCGAGATCCGGTTTCCATTGCCAATGTAAACACGGTCTGTGACGACCGGCTTGATGTATTGTCCATCGACGGCATATACATATAGATCGTGATTGTCGATAGACACTTGCAGAGGATATAGCCCGCCGACATTCATAAACGTGAGGGCCGCCCAGCCTTCCTTGCTGTCGACATTGACGGTGAAGTTTCCCTTGGGATTTCTGCCGCCTACGCATTTTCGGATTGACTCGGCGGGCAGCTTGCCTAGGTGCACATCATAGTCACCTTGAAGCGCCTGGATCGGAGGCACGCAACCCTTCGCAGTCATATGGTCCTCGCCGAGATCCTGCAGCATCTTGAGAATAATAGGGTTCGTCATGCTGTCTAAGGATTCCGGGTCAAGACAGTACTGTGACCCAATGCCGTTGACAATGATTGCATCCGTGCAGGCGAGATCGAAGTTGGCAATCTCCTCGATATGGTAAAAGTCATCAAACTTGTACTGACTCCAGTCGGCGAGTAGTAGCGGCCGCATGTTCTGCTCAGCTCTCCGCATCGCCTGTCGAGCCTTGAGGCTCCCATCGATGAGGTGAAAAGGCCTGTCAACTTCCGGTAGTGCGTCGACAATGACTGCGCCGTAGAGGCCATCCATCAGCTGGCCTTTCGAGTGAGCGTGGTAGAAGAACGTTCCCGGCTGCTCTGCAGTCCACTGGTAGCGGTACGAGGCACCGGGATGGATGTGACCCTGAGTGAGACCCGGTACTCCATCGCTCCAAGGTGTCTTGCGTTGGTCGATGCCGTGAAAGTGAATGGTTGTGTCTTCCTGCAGATAGTTGCGGACTACGACTTCGACCTCATCCCCTTGCTTGAGATGTAGAGTAGGGCCAGTGAAGCTGTTGTTTACGAGAATGGCAGCTCGTGGACCAGCACCGAGAGCGTCCACTTGGCCTGCTGTAAGATGGAGCTCGAAGCGCACGGTGCGCTGTATCGACTGCTGGATGTTGGACGTCCCAGCGTCCAGCGACGTTGCCGATGACCAGCTGGATAACGGCCAAGGCAAAAGGTAAGAAAGAAGATGAACAGGGTGCATTGTGATACTATCCAAAACTTGGTAGGTCTATTGGAACAAAGAAATATGACGATTGTGTAAGTGCCTTCGATTAGAATAGGATAGGCCAGACCACGAAGTAGGTGGGAGCTGGTGTAAGTTGGAGGCTTGGGCGCGGGAGGGAATGAAGCTTGGTCGTTACCATCCCACAGGGAAAGCACATGGGTTAGACACGCTGAAACTTGCCGAACACTTGCAGCGAAGATGACCCAGCGGGAATTAAAGACCGGCCGGTGCTGAGTCGAGTATCATAACCCCGAGCTTGCCCACGACCACTACATTTCGGACAATAGTTTAACAATCATCTGTACACCTTTCCCTTCAGTAACACTCGACTTGTCAACTTCAGTCCGTCATCTTACTCTGACTTCAATTCCTTCTTCTTGCTGCAGGAAATGCGGCTCTCACTCATAGCTCCCGCAGCGGTGCTGCTGGGCAGTGCATCCGCCAAATCCCTAAGCCAAGCTCTGATCAGCCATGGGTCACTATCGATGCTCCATGATCTCTTGAAGGACTTGGGTTTACTGGAAAAGTTCCAAACAGCCGAGAGGTCGACAATTCTGGCAATGACGGATGACGCGCTCATTGGTCTCGCCAACTGGGGTTTGAACATGAGCACTATCGACCCAGCACTAGCCAGAGCCATTCTCGAATATCACTTTCTAGAGGGCGTTTTCACCTCATCAGATCCTCTACTGAAGACAGATGTTCAGCTCGCTCACTCTCTCTTACGCCCACCAATTTTGACAAACGTCACAGATGGCCCGGTGGTGAAGCTCTCCATCATTGACGACTCATTGTCCGCAGAATCTGGCATCCAAAAGGTCATGCAAATCAATGAGTCTGACATTACCCACGACAATGGCGTCCTACACACCATCGATAGCAACCTTGTTTTGCC